CGCTAGAGCTACTTTTGAGAGTTGCTTTAGCTAATCTCTGGGAAAGCATGGCGTGGATCCACCCTATTATGGATGGAGCCACGCCCCTTTCCCTTGTTGCCTGACATATGCAGTCAAATGACGTGTTGCCGAATGCTCCTTCTATGTCGATGAATATGCCTAGAGTGGCACTGCCACGGTCCAACCCGCCCTCGAGTCTGTGGACCAGACGGTGGAGAGCTGTCTCCGTGCTTCTACCAGTTTGGTAGGCGTGCTGAAGGTTGCTGAGTGGATATAAGGTCAGTATATCCTCTCTGATGTATCTGTCCACCAGTATTTCTGTGGTCTTGAGAAGAAAATACGTAAGACTGATGGCCCTAAAAGACTTTGCCTGGGTGTAATCACTTTTTCCAGGCTTGGGAATGAAGATAACCTTGGCTGTCCTCCATGCTTTGGGAACGTATCCGTAGGCGAGGCAGCTTCGAAAAATCTTCAGTAAATGGGGGATCAGGATATCTTCGCCCTTTTGTAGCAGGGCTGGAAATATCCCGTCTTCTCCCGGAGATTTGAAAGGTGAAAAGGACTCAATGGCCCATTTCACTTTATCGTAAGTAACAATGCCAGCAGCCACTTTGTAGTCGACCTTTCTCGTGAGAGAGAGGGAAAGAGGTGGAGTTGGCTGTGGTCCGGGTGTCGCAGTGTCGCTACCCGGAAAGTGGACTGAGAGCATGTATTGGAGTGTTTCTTCGTCCGAGGCAGTAAATCCGCCTCCGGGCAGTGTCAGCACCTCCAATCTTGTTCCCGGAACTTTGAATAGGGCCTTGTTGAGTCTTGCTGCCTCTGGTAAGGTGTTTACACCTTGGCAGTAGTTCCTCCAAGTGTCCCTCCGTGCGTCTCGGATACACTTTTTGTATTCCCTTTGTGCAGACTTATAGTCCTCCCAATGTGTTGGTTGTTTGGTCCGTGTGGCCCTATTCAGACGTTTGCGGACTTCCTTGCGGTGAGCCTCTATTTGTGAGTTCCACCATGGGGTTTTGCCTGCCTTGTCAACCTTTTTCAAGGGACAGCTGGCTTCATATGATGTGAGGATGGCAGAATTGAGACAGTCGGCAAACGTCTCAATTTCCCCCTCAGATCCGTAACGTGTAGGCATAATTCCAAGCCTCTCCTTCAGTTCCTCCACGTAGAGGTTCCATCGGGTAGCTCTGGGATTCCTATACCTGCAGCTCTCTGCATGGCTGTTGCCTGCTATTTCAAATAATATGTGTCGGTGGTCCGCTAGGGTTTCCTCCGTTGACACATGCCAGTCGCTGACGCTCCCTGTTAGTTCTGATGAACATAGTGTGAGATCGACAATTGTTTGTGCCAGAGGCGTGAAGTAGGTGGGCACTGATCCTCTGTTGAGGATTTCCAGTTTACTGGAACTCAGGAATTCGAGAAGCGCCCTACCCCTTGGGTTCACGTCGCGGTTTCCCCACAGTGTGTGATGGGAGTTGGCGTCGCAACCCAACAGGAGGGGCAATCCTTGCTCCTCGCAGTGCTCTATCAGTGTTATAACCTTTTGTGGAGGATTCTCCTCTTCATATGGGAAGTAAGCGGAGCCTACAATGACTTCGCGTGTATTACCCCCTGTTTCGTCGACCAACTTCACCTTCACCGCTACCAGGTCTCTGTGACGAAAGCCCGGCAGCGGAGTGGCGTCGACACCTTTTGTATAAATACATGCTCTGGGTCTTGCTTCGGAAGGACAATAGTAGAGTGAACCTCCAGCTTGACCCATACCACTTAGGCCGTAGGCCCACGGCTCTTGAATAAGACATATATTTATATCGAGCTCCCTGAGCCTTCTGCATAGAAGGGCTGTAGAGGCCCTCCCGTGCTGTATATTGGCTTGCAGAAGTCTCAGGGGCTCAGAGGAGCATGAAGGAGAGACCGCCATTTGGTAGCCTAGTCTTCCTGCCCCTCTTCTTGTCCAGGGCTACCAGGACTCGCGTCCTGGGCGCCCCCTTCCTGACCGGACTCTGCCAGAGGACTGTTGACGTTGTCCTCTGTCAAAGTCTCGTCGTCGAGTTCGATGAGGGTTTCCTCATCTGCATGAGACGGCTCCGCAGGGGGTTGTCTGTCGACGTCTGCGGGTGTCTCTTCGTCGACGGAGACTGTCTCCATCGGCTGGTCTTTGAAACCCTCAGCTGGGAGGTCTGTCGCAGAAGACGAAGGGGCGTCCCAGCTGACCAGTGCCTTGATGGCACCGAAAAACAAGGCCCCGTTGGCCCGCCTGGCAGTGGCGATCGACTCAGGGTCCATCCCCACCACCAGGCTGAGCCCACGCTTCTCCTCTCTTCTGCTCCAGACCCTCCACTGACGGGTTGAGAGACCTGGATTCTGCCTTTCCAGGGCATTGAAGATGTCCTGGTTCGGCGGTCTTATCGGGATCCGGATGACCGTTCTTTGCAGTCTGAATCTATCCGGATCGACCGCTATGAGGTTAATGCCTTCCCAGGGTCTGATATTAGGCAGTTCCCTGAGAAGCCATACCCTCGTCTCCGCATTCTCTGCGGTGACTAAAAGTTGCCCCCTCCACAGTCGCGTTGATGCGAATTGTATAGGGGGCGAGTTTACGCTCATTGGCGTGCTGATGATGAATGTCAGCACAGCGTCTAGGAACTCTGCCAGTTGGTCCTCCGTGAAGGCCACGTTGGTTTGGCCCTCCCTGGAGACAACCACCTGCAGAGCTCGGTTTTCAGATGTTATCCGCGCGTAGCTCTTCGGACCAGTCGTGCCCTGCCCCATTTGTGTGGGGCCTGGACGTGGTCGCTTAGTAACGCGCGTGACGTCATCGGGTGTAGATCCTGGAGTCCTGGTCCTCTTGGTAGACTCATGGGTCTTTCCTCTCAGGGCCGGGTCACCAGGATCTTTCGACTTGGCAGCGGGGCACGGAGGAGGAGCTTCGACGTTCCCCTTGGAGGAGCCCTGTACTCCACTCCTGTCCGTTGACCCATTGCCTGATCCACCGACCCTCTTTGTGGAGCCAGTCGAGGTGGATGGTTGGACGGGCGCTGCTGGCGCCGCAGCCCGTCTCGCCATTCTCCTCTTCCTTTTATCCGACCCACGGACGTTAGTTTTAACCTTCACCTTTTCAAGGGTTCGGGCAAGATCTGACACATCTAGTGAACGCGAGCGCCCCACTGATGTGCCTGTAATAAGTGTAGGCGCAAAGCCGGGTTTGGATTGTTCCGAGTTCCCCGAAGTGGAGCCCGTCGGAACAGGAGTTGCGGACCCCTCAGAGGAGCCCGCTAGGGTGGAGGGAGGGGTGGACCCTGGAGTCGAGCCCACCGTTGTTGTTGGTAAGGTAGCAGGGGACCCCATGGGGGAGCCCGCCTGTGGAGTTGGTGTTACGGAGGACTCCGTGGTGGAGCCCGTCCGCATCGGTAGGGGGGAGTTTCCACCGGAGGACCCTACTGAAGAGCCCGCCTGTGGAGTTGGGATGGGGGTGGTGGAGGTGGACCCTTCTGATGAGCCCACCAGGGTAGGGGTTTGGGTTTGGCTTTGGCGCCGTTTTGGTGTTTTTGTTTTATTTGGTTCCATAAGGTTCCCACGAGTAAGGGGGAAAAGAGGTCGCCGCACGCAGGCCCCCACGCGTGCGGAAGGCTAAATAAATCTGGGTGCGCCTGGTTCAATTGTGAAAAGGATAGAGGACTACGAAATGATTCCAATTGAACTAAATTATGATCGAAAGTCCAATGATCTAGCTACAAGTTCACGCCTTCTACTTTTTTTTCATGTTCTGGTTTTCACTGAATCTGATGTTTATACTCAAAAACCGTATCCAATAATTGAGGTGGATCCTACCTTGAACTAAACAGCTTACTGCCGCTGAAGTTCTCCAAGTTTGGCCACTGCCAATTTTTGTTGTATCAACAGAGTGAACCAAGTACTGCTTCATCGCTATAACTACTTTTAGCTTCTACTGCCTCGGATAGGTACGTTGGCCTTCATTTCATGAAGCCTCACATCTCTTCTTGAAGCAAATCTCGTTTTTTTCATTCCCCGGTAAGGTTTCTTCTCCTCTTGACAACTTGTCAGAAAACCTTCTCTATTCTCTTTTTTTCCTCTTCTTTTCATGACAACCAACAGTTGTTCAATTTTTCCACAAATACAGGACTTAATAAACTGGTGCATAAACAAGGGTACAGCCCAATGGCAACACGACCTTTTAGTAAAAATCTTACATCCCTGGATTTAACTGTCAAAATAGCTGGAGATAATTACGAAGGCCGTACAGGATAAATGATAAAATGACTTTCTTCATACAAAAAATATACGTACCTTCAATGCCCACATAATTGCTGCTCCAGTAGATGAAGAGATACGCCTCTCTGGTACCATGATACTAAGAGCTGCTCGCGTTGGTGACCGTTACTGTACCTACAAGGGTGGTTACCCTAAAAACTACCGTACTAACTAAATATCGATCGACTATATCGACTCTCATACGTTCTGCCCCGAAAAACCATTTCTCATATTGTTTTATATTTCCAGTCTGTGATATATGAGCTGTGTTCGAATTACGTGTATGTGAATGAACATAATAATTACCATCTACTAGAGACTTATATTTTCTTTGATGACTATTTCCGCATGAAGGTGTGGAATTTTGTGAAAAAAGTGTATGCTAAGGCACAATAGGGGGGATCACATCATTTCTTATGTTATTTTCCAATAATCAACTATGTGGCATATGAAACCTTGATCCATTTATGCCTTCAATCATAACTTCTTCATTGACGATGATGAATCAGATGTGTAGTGAGGTAACTCGAGAAAAAATCAGAGTATCGCATAAATCATGATAGACATCAACCACAGGTTGCTAGTCAAGCCCTCGATAGATATTTTGCTAACAATTTTTGTTCGAACTGTTTGCCTCCTCACATACGGTTCTCTGTAACACTGATTTATCTGATAGTAATATACATATAGGCTCTAAGACACATTGTGACACTCAATCTTTGATTTTACAGATCCTCCAAATGTATTGTCGACACAATTGAAAAACTATGAAGAAAACGTTTCCAATGAAATGAGTAAATTAGTTAGCATTAGTAACGAAATCCGTCCTCAAGCTTCTTGTAGCACGAATAATGTCGGTGTACAGTCCACTTTGCGTCCGAACAGCTACCAGAATACAAGTTTCATCGGCCAGCTCATGCAAAATGGCGGACAAAATGTGGGGAATCAGAGGCACGCAATTTCCCCTATTTGCTGTGAGGTGAGTTACATAATATGTTCAAATTATCAATTTTTCAGCAGGTTGAATACTGGTATAATGAGATTTCATTTCATTAACGAAACATGTCGCACAAGTTTTCACATTAGTATAGTTTGTGGTGATGACTTGGAGTTTCTGCCTTTTCGTTGAGATGAAATTGTTCATGAACTCGTTAATAACACACAAATCGAAAACATTATAGTTGAGCATTAGCATTTGCAGATGACATGGGAATTTTCACAGAAATTACAGATATTGCAGATTGTTTTCGTCTGCAAAATGATTCTGAATCTTTTTTTCTAATGGTGTTCTGGAAATTATTCGAACCTGAATATTGAGAAATGCAAAATTATGAGCTATTCTGGAAAAGTTTCTATATTTCCATTTGATTCTCATTGAAGATGGTAAACTAAGCAGGTAAACGAATGTAAAGATCTGGGAGTTATATTTGACAGCAAATTAATATTCAATTAACATATTGAAGAAATTGAATCCAATGCCTACAGGGCTCTAGGTTTCCTCATCCGTGTTTATGAATAATTTTTGAATCTTAGAGCTCCTTGTTCTATTTACTACTGCGTACGTAGCAAGATTGAATACTGCAATGCGGTACGGAACACAAGCCAACTCAAACACATGCAAGCATTGGGAACAGTACAAAAAAAATCATTAATTTTTGTTCTTCAGAAAATATATTATTCATTCTGAACGTCACTGCATTCGTTATAGCTTGAGAAAACTACGTGAAATAGCAGTCATGATATTTGCATATAATTTGATGAATAATCAAATAGATTCGGCGTCCTTTTCATCCAGACGGAGTTTCAACATAGCCCGTTTCTCTTCATGATCAAACCTGACTTTCCGAATCGATGTCCCAGATCCAGAACATCACCCCAATTGTCCAATCACATATATTAGCAGAAGCTGCCGTCTGAAAGATTGTACACTTCTCTTCCAAACTAGTTATACGTATATTTTCATTTGTTCACCCACTGGTCAGTTGCTCAATTTATTGTGATTTTCATTCTTATTATCATCATTATTATTATCATTATATATTCCTGTGATTTGGCTCCGGCCTGTTGGATGTATTATGTATGAATAAATTGGATATTGTTACGAGACATCGCCCAGTGATGATTACATGGCTATATCAAAAAAAGACGTTGTCGTTCCAGTGTTTTCATGGAAAATAGAGCACGGACATTATCGTAACGAAATTATTGACAAAAATAGAGCTATGAGGCAAATTACCATGAATAATACGGTGCTACTGAATGAATCGGAAGGAAGAAGGATAGGTTATATTCTGACATTGCTGACATTACTGGTCATATTGGTCATAGTAGGAAATTTAGGAACACCTAGCAGAAGTAGTATCTTTGCATTTTCATTTCATTCGGAAGGATTCTGGCAGTACTGGTTTACTGGCAGCAAAACATAATCTCAACATATGATATTTCAATTTTCGATTCAATGTTCTACGGTTTATATATCTATCATTCTCGATATTACCTCCACCACTCACGTTGGAATCATGGATTGAGTGATTATTCATAATATCTCAGAAGACATAATATTCGATAGCGATTTTGATTCATCAGAAACACCAAGCTCATGTACTTCTAGTTCCAGTGATGAATAAATGGAGCATAGCTGGAAAATATTACCGAAAGTGAGAATAACAAACCATCCTGTGGATCAGTGACATTTTCAGCGTCTACTGCCTCTGTGAGATCTTCCAGTTCGAATTCATACATTCTCTCAAAATAACTAGAAATAATAATAAGTACCTATATCATTTTCATCGACTTATACCTAACCGCATTCAAACGCTCAACCTAACACCTAACATTTCATGAATACTGGCAATACATCGCCATTTTTGCACCAGTAGGCCAACAGTTAACTTTGATCCTATATATAACAGGGTTCCTTGCAATGACCCGCCAAAACGTTGCCAGTGCCAGTGAATTTCAATGAAATCGAAACGAAAAAATATACTGGTCAGTACTGTTCGGGAATATCGGAACATGCTATTCAAGACATAGAAAAAACTTATCAATGAAGTTTTGCTATTCATTTAAGAATATGAACTTCTTGAACATCTCAATCTGACGATATTTTATTTAATATTGATGTAAAGGATAGTCACACAACATAATGATATTACATGGATTCATACACCAAGGTAGTAAAGAATGTCAGTATTACCCAGAGATCAAGGTAAAATCCCAAAGTTCGAGTCGAGGGGTATTATAAGGTCCCGTGATGAATATATTCTCTACTACCAAGGTGTGGTGAGGTGGCTATGACTTTATTTACTAGTAGTTCATAAAATGACGAAAACTACCTTGACACTTGACGCCTCGAAAAGAAATAAATGATGGTAGGTTTTATAGCTAGTGATGTGAAAATGAATGTTATTCAGACTATATTATTGAAGGCTCATTCCAGGGTTTTGCTCAACAATACAATTTACATTCGTTTGGTTGCACCTGTAAGTCTTACTTTACTTGCTACAAAGTGGTACTATTAGTGAACCTTACTCTGCTCCATTCCATAAATGATAGTTCTACAGGTTCCTGGATGATGGAAAATCCTTTTATCAATCCATTTATGATTTCAGGTCTCTCTGCCAGCTTTGCAGTCCCCAAAGAATGCAGTTCCTCCCAGCGATATAATTTTTGACAGACCACCAGCTCCAACAATCGTGCCATATCCTAACGGTAAGAATATTATGAATCTGTAGTTTCGTTCAATCAGAAATGAAATGGAAGGTGCTTATTATTCGATAAAGAATATTCAGAAAAATAATATATTCAAATTGGTAAAATTTTAAAAAGTCTGAATCAGCTAATAAAATAATATTCGATGAGCTGGACAAAAACAATTATTTCCATCTTGAAATGTGATCAAAATAGCGTGGCTATCCAAAGTTACGTTGAACGTTGAGTATCTCAAAATATAAAATTTTGAATAATATATCTGGCATTCAAAGAATCGATTGGAGGTCAATTCTCTATAAGCCTTCCTGTATAATTTGGGACATTCACCTTTCGTGATGATTCGTGTTCTAGTATCACATTAGTTCCCTCGATATTCCTAAGATGAAAAATGATATGATCGAACCTAAAATGAGTAATCTGTGATGACATTGATTGACAGCGGATATTGAAGTACCTATACTAATATTCCAATAATTCCACTGAGCTATCATGGTATCGGTTAATCCATTCCTCATTGCTTTCATGTAGTATTTTTATCGTTCTTGAGATGTGAAGAGGCGTTCATGATGATTTCAAATATACCAGTCGTGCATAAAATTTTGTATACATTTCGGGCGTAACTTGCTTTTACGGACTATGGCGTGTTAATAGTCATCACAACCGCTTGAACTCTCACTAACACGCTGTGAACGGTCCATAAAAGCCTATTTCACGTCCTCAATGCATATGCAACTATTATTGGAAACTGATAGTTACTTTTGTAAGATCATATTTTGATATTCAGATTAGTCATGTGTAGGCCTTTATGGGAGCATGTCGTTACATCCACATTTCATAACTCCCACATCGCGTTGTTGCCACATTTCGATATGCCCACATTTCGTAAGTCCCACAGTCTTCGAACATACCCGAAGAAGGCCCTGTTGCCAAATATTATGTCATATTCTAGAATTCAATGAAACGACCATTGTGGGCATATCGACACATTGCGTTACACCTACATTTCGTAACACCCACATTGCTTTATGCCCACATTCCGTTACGCCTACATTGCGTTACACCTACATCTCGTTTTACCCACATTGCTTAATGCCCACATTTCGTTATGCCTACATTGCGTTTATCCTACATTTCGATATGCTCACATTTCGTAAGTCCCACATTTCGATATTCCCACAGTCTCCGAATATACCCGAAGGATGCACTGTTGCCGTATACTGTGTTTAATGCGTAATTTTCCGAAAAATATACTTTTGAGAAAAAAGGTTGATTCAGGCTGAGTTGGGTTAGATTGTTTAGAAGAAGTAGTATTCCTTGTTCCCTCGAGCAATTCATCGAAGCATATACATTTTAGGAAGGATTATTTAGTCCGAGTTAGGTTAGATTGTTTTGAAAAAGTATAGTCTTTTTTGCTCTCTCAAGTAATATTCAGAAAAATATTCCCTAGGAAGGAGGTTCATTTAGGCCTAGCAAGGTTAGAATGTTCAGAAAAAGTAGTCTCCTTTCTTATGCAGAAAGGATATTTCCCTTCCTCATATTACGTATTCGGAATTCAGGAAGCCATAGATGAAATGCTATAGCTAGACGCGTGTACTAGACATTGTGGGCCTAACGCACATTGTGTTTGGCAACAGTGCATCCTTCGGGTATGTTCTTAGACTGTGGAAATATCGAAATGTGGGTGTAACGAAATGTAGGTGTAACGCAATGTAGGCGTAACGAAATGTGGGCATAAAGAAATGTGGGTGTTACGAAATGTAGGTGTAACGCAATGTGTCGATATGCCCACAATGGCCGTTTCATCGAATTCTGGTAAATAAGATAGTATCTGGCAACAGGGCCTCATTCGGGTATGTTCGGAGACTGTGGGTTTATCGAAATGTGGGAACAACGCAATTTGAGAGTTACGAAATGTGGGCACAACGCAGCCATTCATAAGATGAGGACTTGTTCACTGCTAAAAAAACTACAAAAATTGTGTTTGTGATTTCACAGCAGAGTTTGGCACTGCGACCAGCAGTCTTCAAGTGAAATCGATGCAAGACCATAAAAATGAATCGGTTCACAAGAGGATCGAAGAATTCAATTTGGACAGTCGAAAGTCGAGACCGATATTGGTGGAAAGCAAAGAATTGACGTTTATCGACGAAGAAAATTCGTCGACATCAGGGCCATCAACTTCAAGAAGATTTCCTCCTCCTCCGACAATTATGTTGGATTCGATGGTTAGAAGTTGCAGTGTTGGTGAGTTCCTTAATGGTGTCATTCGATAAGTATACGTTGAACTTCCTCAGTGTTTGAACTGTGCGCACTCATTTTAATGTGATCCTGTATATGTATGTATATATAAGAGAAGTCGGAATAAGACCAGGCAAAGCAAGGCCTCGTGAGTATTGATTCATTCTCATTACTCTCTCAACATTCGACCTTCTTTGACAAAGACAATTTTCATGAAGAATCAGTATCCTAAGGTAGTATTTTCTCTAGGTCTAGCTGCATATACAGAACTGATTAATCAAATGAAGAACTTTTGTATTTCGTGTGAAATATTATTGTCAAATCGCAGAGCGATGTCGGCTCATAAGCCATCATTAGTGATATACCTTCAAGTCAGTTATTTTGTTTGAGATATTGCAGGAAGGTCCAAAAGTCAATCGTCGACATCATCATGGTACAGATGATAGTAAGAACTTTTTGCGAATGTTTATCGAAAATACGTAACCTCAATATGTCTGATGGATACTTGACCATAACTATAACCATAACCATAATGTTGACTGAGACTGAGGGTCAATGTGAATGAATTGATGGACGTGAACAAAAATGATTATTGTGAGCAAATGAAATATTTTCGAAAATGTTTGAAGAATTTTGAGAATATGAAAAATAGAATGAGGAGAAACCTAATTTCAGGCTGAAGAGTAGATAGCAACCTATACCGAGGAATTTCAAGAAGAGATTCTCATTCATGATCCTATAGTCCTAGCATTCAAGCTGTATGTCAAAAAATACATCCTCGTAGTCGAATGCCTCATTAGGATTAAACATACCATCAGAGCAATTCCCGAATTGGGGTGAAGACCTGAATGTGAGCCGAACCTTGATTGCAATTTTGTTATGTCAAGTGAAAATCAAAGATCAGGACTTCCAATTTGGACTCATAAGTCCTAATGTTCGAGGATGCTCAACTCAAGTTGTGAGTCCCGAAGAGGATGTCAACATCAGTTGAACCTCCCGACTTCTAGCGTAGACTGGACTCAAGTCCGAAAAGTGAGCCAGGTCGAAGCCAAAATCTTCAACAGTATCATTCATGAGTTATAATTGATATCATCCTGTAGAATTACTTGTGTTATTTCAATCGCTTAATAGCGAATTGCGCTCTAGCTGCGATTTGATGTTGAAATTTCACATAAAATACTCCATATCTTCATTTGATTCGTATTCTCCTCAGGTTTCTTGGATAACGTAGAAGCACAGCTAGTTCCCAGCGACGCATCATTGCTAATGTTGCGCAAGGAAATTCCGAAACGTCTGGTTCTGGTGGACAAGAAGTCCAAATCCAAGAGGACCACCCGACTGGCATCCAAGAAACTCGACCACGTTCCGGAGAATACGGAGATGACTGCGATGTTGAAAAGTTACGGAAAATCTAGGAGTCTGGATTCCAGCGATATATTTCCGAATGATGAGAACAGCATCACGAGTCTGGTGAGTGAACAAACTCTTTGATTATTCCAAATTTTTTTGGGATTTTCTCTCCTCGTTTCTATAAAATAAAAATATGAATATTATTTCAATATACGTGTAGTAAGGACAAATCAGATGATTTGCCCCAAAATGTCACTGCGTTTAAAGAATTTTCCTATCAGAGAGCCTAAAAGAAAAATTCACTAGCTTGTCAGTGACAATTTGTATCGAAAAAATTTTTGGAGAAGGGAAATAAAGGTATATAGAAAAAATATCAAATTTTCACATATCTTTGGACGTTTCGGGACCGGTTCTGCTCCCGTTTTCAACATAAGAAGAGATTATTTCAATAGTTCTTTTAGGCTCTCTGATAGGAAAATTCTTTAAACGCAGTGACATTTTGGGGCAAATCATCTGATTTGTCCTTACTACACGTATATTGAAATAATATTCATATTTTTATTTTATAGAAACGAGGAGAGAAAATCCCAAAAAAATTTGGAATAATGAATATATACCACCTCCTCGATTAACCTACAGACAGTATTTAAACTCTTTGATCTTGGAATTTTTTGTTTGAGCTTTTTCTCAACTAACCAGGTACATGTTCAAAGAAGCAATTCATTTCGATCAATAAAGGTATTTGATTTCCAATTGAAACAACAGTACCTATGAAATGTTAATTTTTATAGATTTCTCGGATTTTCTCACCTTGTTCCTGAATAAAAATCTTTGGACTTTTCGTAGAAAAATCTGCTCCTATTTCCAATCCTTGAGATTGATTTGTTCTCTGGTTGTCATTTATCAAGAGAGGTGTATCAAATTCCCCTATCAGGTTTCTAATGCTGAAATACTGGAGTTTTAGTGATATTCTGAAGCTAATTATTCAATTCACTCTTCCTACAGAGGTATATTGACATAAAACAAATATTTCCATTCATCGAAACGACGAGATGAAATAAAAAAAACTGGATAAATGAATAGTTATGCTTCACGATCTACCTACCAGACTACCCGATTGAAAATTTTGGGGAAATCTTATCGTTTGTGCAGTTTTTTACATTCACTTTCGACTTCCATTACTACGTAACAGCCGAGTGGATTAAAAAGGAAATACTAAATACTATTCAGACTGCTAATTTTTTGACGCAGTGGAACTGATGAAACGAATAATATGTTTTATCATTGCAGGTGAGGAGGAAAAAGGAGAAAGACATTCCAGAAATTGAAACCGTGAAGATTTCCAACACAGAATCACACAACTGCGTAACAATAGCCGAAGAAAATACGAAGAACAAAATCACCAAGACCAAACGAGATTTCTTTTCATCGCCGCTCATGAGGCGGAAAAAACAGGACAGTCTGCTGAATAATGATAAAAATAGGGGCAGAAATAATCAGAAGAAGGTGAGTATACACACACAGTTCATTATTCATTTAGAATATGGGTTTATCTAGGTGTCAACTACCTGACAGCGACTATTCATTTCCAGACTCTTTACATTTCAGTACTACTTAGTTACTATCAAGTAGTAGTAGTAGTAATAGTAGTGTGTGAAAGCTACTACCAGGTAAGTGGGCTCTCATGGAACCTTTTTGCCTACCCCTGCTCTCCACATATCTAAACATCCCTCTCCTCATTGTCCTTTCTGAACTTCCCTGACCTTTTGATGAAGGTCAGGAAGTCCGTCCACTATGATTTGACTGAATTTTCCTGTTGTAGTTTATCTACTCCAAAAAATTAGAATTACATCCTTCCATGCGCCTCATATAATCTCCAGAAGTTCAAGAAAAATCCCAATACCTACCTCCTATCCCTATCCTCCTTAGGAACGCACGATGTTCTTTGAACATTATAGGGATACCCTTTCGTGCCCTCCAAGCGATAAAAAAAACATTCTCCGCGAAAATGATATGACGTTTCCTCATCTTCTCCGTTTGACGGCTATTTTCTAGATCTATAAGTGTCCCAAGTTATCACATACAAGCAATATCTCGCTCATTTCACAAGATTTATGAAAAATTCTGGAACTGCATTGAATGGCATAAAAGTACCTTCCTGATGACATAAACAAATCTATCACATCTGACAATTCTCTGGCAGCTATCCCCCACTCCTTATTTTCGAAAGGCATCCCCTGTATAATGTCATTGAAAATTCCGTGTCATCCTATGAGGAATTGAACGTTGTCATATACTTGGTATTTTTCATTATTATCATCACAAAAACAATACCATTCAATGAAGTTTGAATTTCGACTAAAAATTAACTGAAAATCACAGCAATTGTTGAAAATTATTATGACATGACATTTCAATGTCATAAGGATGATTGAGTAACTTGAAACAAGTCACAAAATGTTGATATTTTTGTTGTTATCGATTGCGAAATACCGAGTTTACGTCAATATACAGGGGAAGCCATTAGAAAATGCAAAGTGGGAGGTAGCTGCTAAGGAACTGTCAGATATGATAGTTATCTTCATATTATGCCATTAGCAAATTACTTAAGTGCCATTCGAGTATGTTTTTGAATTTTTTGAGCATTTTATCAAAGAGGCGAGATATTGCCTATATACGATAACTTGAAACACCCTATGAGTGATAGTTGTCTGTGCAAAGCTATTGTTTCCTGTCAGTAGCCCTATAAGAAGGCGCAGTAGTTATGGTGGTATCTGTCAGAAAACCACGCCATCTTCGACTTATTTGAACAGGTTACGAGGTCTCTCGATTGCCTGCAGCCGCCTATATAAGCCTCCAACATCTTTCCAGTCATAGTGGAATTATATTTTGATGTGCTACTCCTGTATCTTGAATTGATTTTTTCTGTATAACGTCGTTGCTAGTCAATACTCACACCAATAATGATCACTTCCTAACAACACAAGGATGTCCTAGGTACGTCCCTTTTTTGTCCCGCAGTACAAGGACATGATTGGGACATCCAGGGGATGTCCTGCAGTGGTTGTCCAGTGGACATCCCGCCCGGTACATCCCTAGGTTATCCTATTCGTGTCCCTGGAGTATCTGATATCCATTCACATCAGATTCATTGAATTTCATCAAACTATTGAGTTGAATTTTTTCGAAAATGTTTGATTCTCTTCCGGAAAATGATTGTAATGAAAATAAAGAATGAAGTCTCAGAACTACTCAAGAAATTACAATTTTTCGCAGACAGGAATCGTACATGCATAATGCCCCTCATTTTCAAACACCCAAGAATGATAATAACTATACCCAATTCCTGATAAAGTAGTATTTATTCAGGTTTGTGTAGTTAAGTCCTGTTTATAAACCTGTTTAGTACATGAATCTTCAGGAGGCATGATAGCCAATGGAGCGAGGCGCATGCATGATAAGCCAAAGGTCCCGGGTTCAATCCCTACCCGACCTGCAACTTTTTTCTTTTGTCGAATGGATGTCCCTGGGATATCCTTTCATCGTACTTGGTACATCCCAGGGACGTACCAAACGGACATCCCTTGGAAGCCTTTTTTAGCGGCCAGCGGATGTCCTTGGGACATCCCTAGTATGTACGTTGTCCATGGGAAGTTCCTAGGGTGAACTGGTGTTGTTAGGGCTGCGACTCGGGCGAATTGACTACTGCGAGCTCAGACTGCGAGCAATTGTTTTACTCGCAGTGACGTATACGAAGATGCGTCGTAGCACACCATCATCATTTTTATCAAGCTTTGTTTGCCCGTTCGTTGAGTACGGACGAAGTTCCTTGCACGCAACCTCTGTGGGACGTCCCATTTTGGTAAAATTCAAGTCCGAATGTCACAGACCTGAAATAATTGTCTTTGTGACGTCCAATCCGGTACGTCTCATGCATTGTCCGAGCAAGGACGTCCATGGAATGTCCGAGATGGAACATCATTTCAAATATCCTAGAAATACCATCCTTCAGACGTTCCACGTGGTATATATGTATAGAAGACTGTCTATGCAAGGACATGCTGAGCATGTCCCTGATGGGATATAATTTTGATTGTTTTATGAGGAACATCCAGCGGATATTTTTCATGTTCTGGTTCCCACGAGAAGTAATATCCTGAAATGTTCAGAAAACGCCGTGAGGACCAAGAAAAATAAGATAGGATGTCCCAAGTAGTACAATTGCTGGAATGACCTCAGTTGTTATATGATATCCATTTTGAAACAACCAAATGCCCTCAATATTTTCAGGATCGTATAACACCCAGAATGCTCCTTAGGAATATCCGTCGGATGTCCCAATGGGTACATGGACTGTTATGACTTCCTTAGGAACAACTATAGATAATACATATGTTCATCTGAGAAATAATTAGGTAAAGAGAATTCTTCAATTGATATCATTTCTTCAGATGTCCTGAGTATAATGTCTTATGGACGTCCCAGTTGGTAAGCAAGATATGTTGTTCCTGCGAGGACGTTAACTCACACCTCGCTGACGATCAACTGCTCGTAGGCTATAAATACTCCAAGTCAATGTCCTTAACGCAAGTCCATTGGACATTCTTGGAAACCTTCTCCAGGATCTTTTGAGGAACTTCTACGAACCATCAACTCACCTGGATGTTCTCATCTGTTATACAAGATATGATCCTAGAGACACTCAAAAGAATTCTAAGTCAAGATTGATTCGTACATCCAGGGACATCCTATAAACATTCCAGACGACGTCCTATGGAAGTTCCAGGGACGTCTTATGATCGTTCTAGAGGACCTCTTATGGAAGTTCTAGAAGACGTCCTCTAGATATTTCAGAGGAAGTTCCGGAGGATGTCCTATGAATGACCTCGGTACTGAAACAGAATGTTCAATGAACTTTTGGAAAGGACGTCGATTGAATGATTTCCCAAGGGAGTTCAATTTATTTCCTAGACTAGAGGGATATCCTTTTTTGGTGAGAAGTTGGGACATTTGTACTTCCTACGAAGGTACTATGGAAGTGCCGACTGTCCTGGCGGGACGTCTCTTGGACATCCATGTGACTTCAGTGTGCTTTGAGGGTTTGGCTTCTTGTAATGTTCAGTACAGGCTCCGGTTCCGGTGTTGCGAATCCGATTCTGGCCAGCTCCTCTGCTAATTCGTTTCCTTGTATCCCCCTGTGACCCTTGCTAGTTCGATTTCCTTCAGTTCACCAAGTTTCTCAGGAGCATCGCCGCATTCCTGCACCAAAGCTGGGCTTGGTTTGGGGTGACAGATAGCTCCGAGCGCCTACCAAAGCAGATGGAAATCTTCTGCTCTGGTCCCTCTTCACCTCTTGTAACTACAGCCAGAATGGCGAGAACTTCATCCTGATTACCTTCGATCCATTTCCTAGGCATAGCTCTTCGTTACGGTGTGATATGTTGTTGTTCTATTCAATGTACTGTATAGTTGTTGATTTGAGACAGTGTCAATTGATTAGATGAAGAATGCCATTTGAAGTCATAAAAATATAATGATATTTTACTTAAAAGAACCAGCTGAAGATCTCTGAAAGACATTCAGGGGTAGATTATACATTATGTACCTACAAAAAGACAGATTTTGAAGACAATGATGACTATTTTTGATCCTCTAGGATTCTAGGATAATATCATAGTTGGAGAAAGAATTTTATTCCGGTATAATATGTTGTTGTTTCATTAAATCGCACTGTTTAGTTGATGATTTGAATGAGATGAAAAATGCCATTGAAAGTCATAAAAAACTAAAAAGCATAGTTTACTCAAAAAAACCAGCTGAAGACCTCTGAAAGACATTTAGGGGTAGATCTCATTGCGGTCTTGCAATACTCTTCTTCATAACTTTTCCTACTAGGTAAATTCCTCTGTCACTCTGTTCGGTAGGGGTGAATAGTAGGGAGAGATAAGTTTTATATTATCATCAATGTTTATTATTCTGAAACTGAAACCTTGTTCAGGTGAATGCGAATCAGAAAAAAGAAATGAATAGTGATAAAAATGGCGTCGCTATCCATACGCAAGCACTAGCCAATTTGGAGAAACTCATCACGAGGCTCAGAGAGGACGACGGAAATAGAGCGACCCCTTGTCCTTCTCCGAAACTGCCGAGGAGCTCGCCTGCATCGCCAGCTCCTAGTAAAAAAGGTTAGGAATCTTTTTCTTTCCGTTTCGACATTTGTCAGATCTATATCAAGAAATATGTTTCATTCTTCATGTTGCGAAACGAATGCAGATTTGTTTCCGAAACTTTCAGAGATGGGTGAGATTCAATATTTTCTTCAGTATACCTCCTTACTCTTCGACCATTTTCCAAACAAAGTATAACATATCTATTGTTTTTTTTTTGTTAGATTCTCAATCAGGAAATTTTTGAGCACAGTAACCTTATTCTATGGCAAATCATCCAATTCGTCCTAACTACGGGTATATCACATTATAACTAGTATTTACATTTAAACGAAGGCATTTTTTTGTGTACGTTTACAGAATTCATTGATTTGCCAAATATAGCCCAAATAAGGATTGCATAATAACAGAGATATCATCAATAAAACATTCCATATATTCCGAAACAATATCGATATATAACAGGAGTCTCAGAGATTTTGGGCCAGAAGTTTTCAGTATTCTTACATATAAAACATTCCAAGAATTTGTGGAACTTATAGGAGCAGAAGCTTTTCAAAATGACGAGATCAAATCACCCCTGCGTCAAACAACCAACTAGAAACTATCCCCTATTTTGGTTCTACATATTGCACATCCATGTTTTTTTTCTTGGTTTATCTTGAATAACTCATCATTCTCAATTCGACTTTACATCACGGCGATATACGTTATAATAGTCAGAATCATAGAGAAATGGATGAAAATCGATATTCTTTCATTGAAATCTCAAAAATCAATCGAAATATTTTTGAATGAATTTCCTGCTACATATTCAGTCCGAAATTTCACTTGAATGAGAATGAAAAGTCTCCTGAAATGAACCGAAGAAACATATAGAAGTGCAATTTGAACACCAAAGTTAGGGGTGGTGTCTTAATATGCAGCACTGTTCGTCCTCAATCTCTCAATCATTCGATCCATTTCAATGGATATAGAATTGATGGATCATTCCACTCTCAAGTATTCAGGTAGTGTCATCTGTCAGCAGTTTGGCTCACTTGCAGTTTCACTCTGTAACGTTTCTTAGTTTTCACGTGTATAGTATAGATGTCAGCGTTATACTGTGTTAGTGCGTGATCGCATGATCCTTCCTCGGGAATATACTACAAGATGGCGATAACATGACTAGAACTTCATTTATTATCCAGGATCTTCATTTTGTTCAAATTCTTTGAATGCGTTGAACGAACTCAATTGTCTGAACACTTTGCTGTTATTGCATCAATTGTGTTATAATCTTGTGTGCCACTAAATAGTTGTTACATTGATAGTTTTACTCAGGTACAAGACCCCAATCAGCTTCTCCGATCAGAAGGAAATTACTAAATTCACCACTGCTGGGAAGACGGAATAGAAAGAACAAAAACCAAGAAAGCTCAGACGACGAGGTTAACGCTTCAGGAGACGAAACGTGCAACGGCACGTATTACAAAGATTTGGAAACGTTTCAGAAGTCACAACTGAGACAGAAAGTAAGTAGGAGTTATAAGCAAAAATTTACTACCTAGGAATTCGTGGAAGCTTCTGAAGTACTCGATATAAGACCTGTGCTACTCAGCCTCGTGTTGAATTGTGGCACAAAAGTGTTGCATCATCTCATCCTGACCTGAGGCAATTCCTGGATTGGCAGTTTGACCTGCCTTCGATCACTCATTCTTTAAACATTCTGTATGTCGTTCTCTTTGCTGCATCCGCCACAGCTGAATGTAGAGTAGTGAGGTCTAGGATCATCTCCATCGTAACAGCTGGACACGTTCTCATTGCACACACACACTAACTAGTCTTTGAATTTTCGTGAGATAAGCCTATACAGGGTGAGTCATGACTAGTCATGAGGAACTGTACATACCACGAATAAAGGCACCTTATGGGAGTACCTGATGTACATAAGAAAGTAACTTCTACACTTCTTTTACAATATATAGGGTGAATCATGAGATTTGGCAGAAATTTCTTTTGGTCCTAACTTTCCAACAGCGTCTATTTAGTCTTACTGATTTGAATAAAAGCCTGTTTGTTAATCTCAACAACAGGACCATTGAACAGATATAGATGAGCATTTGACTTGGTCGTGTCAAGTTGAAGCAATATTGAAAAAAATGTCAATCTACACTTACGTTCTTTGGCAACTTAGGGATAAGGTGGACGTTGGTCTCTGATTACTTTATTATTTTGGATATGTCCAATCTTGTCATTCTTATGCCATCATCTGCTGGGGCAACTGTGCCAGGGCTGATGAGGTCTCCACAGCTCAAAAGAGAATAATTAGAATTATATTATTTGAATCGTATACCTTTTTTGTGAAGAATTATTTCCAGAATTGAACCTACTAACATTTTACTCATTGTTCATTCTTGCATCAATAATGCAGGTCAAAAATAACTCATCTGAATATACTGTTTCTGAAAATAATCAATATATTATTATGATCTTAGAGTGAATATGGATTTGGCCTCACCCAAGCACAGACTGACCAAAGTAGCAAATAGTCCCATTGCTCTACCTATCAAATTATATAATAAACTACCAATTGACTTGGAAAAAATACGACCTAAACATACATTTGGAAACAACCTTAAAATTATTTTGATTAGAAATGTGTTTTATTCAATCAATGATTGTTTCAATTGCGATGTCTCTGACCTCGCACCTAATACTTTTTGTTGATGTCCTTAACACTTTTGTTTGTGTAAAAAATTTCTTGAAGTTTGTTTTTCTACCTATTAGGTATGTTTACTCACTCTGTATCGCATTATTCACTTAGACATCCTATTTTTTACATTATCCAATACTGCAAAAAGTCTATGGAAATAAATATTGTGTATTTGTATTATTTGTATTTGTCTTCGATTCGTCTGATTTTTCGATAGAATATTCCGCTACTAATGTCTATTCGACTAACTTATTCAGAATCGGGAAAATCCAGGACCGTCCTTGAAAAATTTTTATAGTTTAGTTTTTAGCAAAAGGTTCATCCTGTATATTGTTTTTGTAAACTGTGACAGGGAAATTTCGAAGGTCACAAGCAAACATCAACAATGAAATATTTCAAATGTTCCTCGAATTTTCACTGCAGCTTGAGAAAAAATATGAATTCAATGAAGAAACGAAAATTTGCTAAACAATTGATTCATATGAAAATTAATACTTCGCAAACCCATGAATTTTACGAATGAGAGTAAGATTTACATTTTCAATGCTTCAGCTCAATGAAAATCAACATATCATTTCATTTCCAGATCTGAATTCAGTTATTAATTTTCTTGTGTGGGATAATAATCACCTTCTAGATTTCTTTCGAATCAGTGGATGAGATATATGTTAAAATGTTGATGACCATCGCTTTAAATAATTTTATGATTCTAATCCACAATTTTATCTATTCGATTCGTTTCATTCAGTTGATTTGGTAACTTATTTTCCCTGCTAGAATCATTATCCACCTTTGCCAGTAGAGTTTTCGGAAAATAATTGATGAGTAAATCTTCATTTCCTGTTCGACTATCTCGAATCATTGGAATTGATGACCATTAACATCTGAACATCTCTGATTTGAAAAAAAACAGGGTGATTATTACCCTTCACAAAAAATGAAATTACGAAATGCAGGCCTGGAAATGGAAAAACATCGTCGATTTCGAATGGGCTAAAGCATTGAAAATATGGGTATTACTTTTATTCGGGAAATTTATGCGTTGCGAAGTAGTTATTTTCGAATGAATAAAATTTGTTTGCAAACCTTCGTTTTTGCGTATAATTTATCGTTTTTTGAAAAATTATGTGAAAGTGTGGGGAGAATTTTGAATATTTTATTTCTGATGCTCATTTGTGTGCTTTGGAAATTCCTTGTCACAGTTTACAAAAACCATATACAGGATGAACTTTTTGATAGAAACTAAATTATCAAAATTTTTCAAAAACGGTCCTGAATTCTTCCGATTCTGAAAAAGTCAGTTGATGAGAGTTCAGTATAGGAATAGGCCATGAAAAAATCAGACGAATCAAAGGAGCTGTTGAAAAGTTATGATCAGAAGATTATTTTACCAAATCTTCACCTCCACAATTTCTGATGGTCATTAGGATTTTTCCCTCAAAGACCTTAATTCGTAGTAGGAGTATGTACAGTTCCTCATGACTCACCCTGTTTACAACGCCGGTTCAATTTTAACTTCTATTGATACTTCCACAATGGTCCACTCAGTTCTGAATTATGGCCTATGCTTATGGAACACCCTGTACCTATGCTTGGTATCCTATGATTTATTTCAGTTGAAGAGAGGTAAAATCGAGCCGAACGGAAGCAGTTGCAACAATCCGATTATACCACAAAGACGTGAGTTCGTGATGCACAACAAAGCGCCAATGTGGAACGAAAACAACCAAGTGTATCAGCTCGATTTCGGAGGAAGAGTCACCCAGGAATCGGCCAAAAATTTTCAAATCGAGTTCAGAGGAAAGCAGGTATGTTTCCGACGATAATACCCTTAGTAGGGTGTCTGACAATCTTGCCATACCCTTATTTTAATAGGAGCTTTTTTTTTCATCGCTTGGAGCGCACGAAAGAAAATTCCTATAATGTTCGGAGAACATCGTGCGTTTCTAGGGAGGATAGGGACAGGAGGTAGTTATTGAATTTTTTTTTGAACTTCTGAAGATTGTATATTGTTGGGAATACTTCCTCAGGCAATGAATTCCAGAGCCTAGTCGTTTTATGGATGATGAAGTTTTGATAAAGTGCTGTTCGACATCTTTCGAGGTTGACAACGGAAGGATGTGCTGACTGGGCTTGTCTAGTTCGTCTGACTGGTATTGCTAGTGAAGGAATGATAGCAAGGATTTCCGAAGAAGATTTCTCGTGGAAGTATCGATAGAAAAGTGGAAGGTCGCCGAGTGAGTGAGTGAGTGAGTGTGGCGTCACCCACCAGGCGAATGACTCTTCTCTGGATGAAATCAAACAGCATCAGCGTATGTTTTGGTGCTGAACTCCATATGTGGGAACAGTATTCTAGAACAGGCCGTATCTGCGCCTTTTAGATCATGAAAAGCTGTTGAGGTGTAAAGTAGCTTTTCGCACGGAACAAGAATCCGAGTTTTTGTGAAGCAGTTTTTGCGATGGATCTGACATGATTATCCCATGAAAAAGTGTTGCTGATGGAAATACCGAGCATAGATATGGTGGGCTTGGTGGGGATGGTGGTGCCAGACATTACAATATCGGGCATACTGAGTTCCGCCTTTCTAGAGAGAATACAGGCTTGAGTTTTGGTGGCGTTGAATTCAACTAGGTTGTTTGTTCCCCAGGCTGTGAATTCAGCAAGATCTCCATTGATAGCATTGACCTACCTGCGCCGTGAGTTCTTAGTTTTCTGGGGAGAAATGGGAATTCTGGTAGAGAACGCAGTATGGAGGGTACTATCATCTGCAAAGCTGTGGATGGGGCAAGTTGTAACTCCCAACAGATCATTGATATGAAGCAGGAATAATGTTGGTGTAGAAAGCCGGAATTGATGCCAATGGTATTAGACGATACACCGTCCATCACCACGTGAAGCGATCTGCCTGAAAGAAAACCCGATAAGAGATGGCATAGCTGAGGTGGTAAGCCGAATGATGGTAGTTTGTGGAGGAGTCCTTCATGCCAAACACGGTCGAATGCTTTAGATATGTCCAACGCGACAGCTAGAGATTCCCCGTGTTTTTCTGATGAAGCTTGCCATAAATGGGTGACGTAGGCAAGTAGATCTCCAGTAGATCTTTGGCAAAAAATTTTGGGCGATCTGAAAGGAATGACAGATAACAAATAAATGAATGTGTGATTTCTGAACGATATGCTGTCATAGTTTTTTTAAAAAGAAACTAGTGTTCTTGCCAATCTAGAGCAGTGTATGAAAATGGTCTATTCACGAGTGAATACCACAGGGAGAAAAAGGAGAATATCACAAGAAGTAAGTTTCGAGAAAAACGCATTTCAGAGTTCAAAACCTCCTTACCTCCTGAAAGTTAGAGGAAACTGAAATCAAACCACCTGGATTCATTTGATGGAGTATAAGGAGCAATGAAGTGGAACAACTAGAAATAGAATCATCATTTTGATTATGTCTCTAAGAAAATAAGATGCCTCATTCCTAGATTCAAACATTTGAAAAACTTATCAAATAGGTATTTGTAGTTCAGAAATGATTTATGAGGCTTTAGCTCAATCTCAATTAGTTCATGGGATATTAGGATGGGGTGGAATGAAGCAGATTATTTGTTTCCAACTGCACTTTTGTATAAGGAATCTGAGAAAATGGATCTTAATCAATTTCATACATACAATTTACTGATCCATATTTTCAAAAATGAAAAGGACATTCAATTCAAAGAACATATCTATGACATAAGAAATAAGAATAACATAACATTGAAATATGAAACAAATAAGTCAATTGGAAGAAGAAATTGTGAATTTTTAATTCTTTACCTATATAAAAAAATTCCAAATGCTATCATAAAAGCAAAGTCACTACAATCCTATCGGATGAAGATGAAATACTGTATATCAGACTCCCCTTAAAATGATTTTATCTCTTTAATCAACATTCAATAATATAATTAGAAATATCTCAATGATAATTGTGAATAAGTATGAATAAATATGAATAATTATGCGAATTGAATATATGATTTGAATACATGATGTCTCATTTCTCAATGAGACAATTTTTTCCTTGTGAAAATTGAATTTTCTTAAATATTTATTGACCTATAAACATTTGTTTTTATCGTTACTACAAGGTTCACTTCGTAAGGTTTTTCCCAGTTCATTCAAAATACCTATCTGTATGTTTCATTGTATACTTTGTAAACATTCTTGAATATTCGAATAGAAAAATCCTCGAAATCAAAAAATAAGTTCAAAGATTCAACGGAAAAATGAGGAATGTCCAAATGAATTGTCAAAAATCTGAATTGTTCACTCGCAATTATCTGCCCTAGTTCATTTCTCCATTATCGCCTGACTACCTAATGAGCGGTGAGTTGTCATATAGCACATTTAGCATCTCTATAATTTGATCATTTTCTATGAATTCCACGTGGTATGAGTAGGAATCATCATGTAGCATTCTCATTATTTCAATCCCATCACTCAGACGTACTCGACAAGCCCAGTCAGCACACGTTTCTGTCTTCAACATTGAAATATGTCTAACAACTCTTCACGGAATCTCGTTCATACATAGCAGGGCAAAGCTTTGAAATTTTCTGTCAAACAGGGTATTAAGGAGTGGGTGGTAATTTTTGTCGGTTACTCGACCGAAAAGATACATATAATAATGAAGATGATGGAGAGCCCTAATTTCTAGTGACAATGGAAAATGAAATAACTCCACCTCCCCGTGTGAGAGTCGAACTCACAACCTCTGGGTTACATGCCCAACGCTCTGCCAATTGAGCTAACGGGACATCCGTCGATCCGACAGAGAGGTCGAGTTCTCATCACACACCAAGCGGCAGAATCCTTCCAATTTCCGAAGTCACTCGAAATCATGCACTATACGATGCTTCGCTGGCAATATGGTACTATACAGTGTCCATATTTCCCCGTTCGTCCTCTGGCAGTGTCTTTCCTTGTATACGGAAATGTCCGCAAGCAATCTAACATATAATAATGAAGATGATGGAGAGCCCTGATTTCGAGTCACAAATGGAAAATGAAAACACAAGATTGCTTTCGGACATTTCCGTATACAAGAAAAGATAATGCCAGAGAACGAACAGGGAAATATAGAGACTGTATAGTACCATCCTGCCAGCGATGCTTCGTATAGTGCATGATTTCTAGTGGCTTCGGGGATTGAAAGGACTCTGCCGCCTGGTGTGTGATGAGAACTCGACCTCCCTGCCGGCTGACCGACGGACTACCCGTTGGCTCAATTGGCAGAGCGTTGGGCATGTAACCCAGAGGTTGTGAGTTCAACTCTCACACGCGGGGGTAGTTTTTTAATTTTCCATTGTCACTCGAAATTAGGGATTTCCATCATCTTCATTATTGAATAGGGTATTCCCAAGAACTTATGATCTCCAAAAGTAGAAAAAACTTTCAATACTCACCTCCTCTCCCTATCCTCCCTAGGTACCCACAATGTTTCCCAAACATCATAGAGAGATTTTCTTCGATAAGCTCCAAGAGATGAAAAAGAGGTAACCGTATATCTTTTTTTTCTCATATTTTGTCTGCCTGAGAGTTCACTTTGACTTTTTGACAGTGTGAAAACAACCTATTAAAATCACAATGAAATCTGTATTCAAGCCAGCACTGAGCTTGGACGTTTCTCTTTCTTCACATTTCTGAAGTAGACATTTCGCGCTTTTTTCATGTCAACGTATTTTCGAACGAGCATATTAGCTGACTATGCTGCGTTATTATACTAAAATATAGTGGTTAGCTATCAGATGGCGGTGTCAAGTCAATTTTCACTAAATTGTGACATTCTCCCTTTTTCCCCTGTGGTCTTCAAATTTATTCTGAAAAGTGATATTCAAAACCTAGAACAAAATTTAAACAATAATTGAATCGTCTACATTCAAAACCCGACAAATCCATCGAGGTCAAATCGTGTGAGATAAGAAAAAACTGTTAGAATAGGTTACTATAACCCAAATGGCAAAATATGAATGAACAAAATGGATTCATCGGGTTATGATTGATATTTTTGGATTCGTGGGGATTTGCAGCGAAATCAAAATTCTCAAGTAACAGACATGCATGCATGTCACAGTCCCACGTGACATCCAAAGATAGCTGTGAATGGCTGATTCGAATTTGTAAGTGTGTGAATCTCATGTTACTTGGATTGGTCACGTTTTGAAACAAACTGAATATTTGAGATGCAAATTGAGCTTGAATTTAGTGGGTTTTGCGGGGTATTCTTGATATATATTTGTGGATATTCAGATAGATATATAGATTGATAGATACATTCATTGATCACGTTAAATACCATTAGTATATTCATGACAGGTCAATTCAAAAACTATAGAAAACTGAAATAGGTGAACAGAACAAAAAAAAAAGAAAATGAATTCTCACAATTATATATATATATCCCTAATAACACACTTAAGTCCAAAGGATATCCTTAGGACGTCCTGTCGGGACCTTCAGGACGTCCATAGGACGTTCGAATCTGTTACCGTGGACGTCCATTGGACGTCTGTGGGACGCACAAATGTCCCACTTGAGGACCAACTAGAGACGTCCCTGAGAGATGTCCTTGCGACCTAAATCCTACAGTATTCCCCATCAAGCACTATAGAGGACATCCTTAGGACATCCCTAGGACAACCTATCTGCAGCGCTTAGGGATATTCATGGGATGTCTATAGGATGTCCCAGGAACGTACGAATTATTCTTGAATTTGAATTTTTCTGGGTCCCTCTAGGACCAGATCTTGCATAACTGATTAGGACATCCAGTTGAGTTGATGGTCCGAAGAAGGTCCCCTAAAAGTCTCCCAAGGATGTTCAATGGACTTACGTGAAGGATATTGACGAGGAGTACTCAAAGCCTACGTGCAATCATCCGTCGGTGAGGTGTAAGTTAACGTCCTCGCAGGGACAACATATTGAAAGTACCGACTGGGACGTCCATAGGACGTTATTTCTAGACATTAGAAGAGTACAGTACATCCGAAGGATGTCCCTGAGGGACATCTCGATTGTTTTACGATCCTGGAAATATTAAGGGCGTCTGTGCAGATATATTTGAAGGAATGTACCATCAGGGACATTTCATGGTTGTCTAGGAGCGACATCATATAAGTTCTGAAGTCATGCTAGAATATGTAAACTCAGGACATCTGATGGATGTCCCTGAAGGAACGTTAAAAATCATATCCCATCAGGGATATGCCAAGAGCGTCCTTGCATGGACATTCTGCAATATGTACCACGTGTGGGACGTCTGAGGGATGCTATTTCTAGGACATTGGAAATGATGTACCAGCTGGGACATTCCGTGGACGTCCTTGCTCAGACATTGCATGAGATGTACGGGATGGGACGTCCCAAGGACACTTATTTCTGGTTCGGGACATCCGGTCCTGAATTGTACCAAATAGGGACGTCCCTGGGAAGTTGTGTGCTATTAGGGATGACTATAACATAAGTACATATCAAAAACAATAGAAATATTCATGTATATATAAAATGAGTTGCAAACATCACAATAGCAACAATAATAGGTACATATACAAGGCGTGGATGTCACTGTAGTACTAGATCAGATAGTGGTGCTGACAAGTACTCATCAACTGAATAGCAGCTGTTCTCAATCATAATTCTATTGATTTTTGATTTAAATTGCGTAAATAATAGCAATCATCAATCTGGATCTAGAATTTTGTAACATACCACCATTCCTGGTATTGAAAAAATGAACATTATTGGTAGAAGTGAATCTTTGTAAGTTTCCTCGAAAACATTGAAATAAATAAATGGAGGGCAAAGTCATGATTCTGAATTGTTTGAAGTAAAGTCTGCTGGATTTCCAGAGCCTCACTCCAGCAATTATCCAGATTGCCCATTTTTGATAAACAAAATCTTCATTTAAGGAACATAACAGGAATCCATTGCCATATCAAACTCGTTTATCACCAGAAATATATAGTTGTCGAGTCTTGAAACTAACAGATTCAACTCTTCCAAATGAATCTTTACAAAATCTCGTATTGCTAGATTTGAACCTTCTATCATTGAAAAAAAATAATTTGTGTTAGCAAAATAATGATATTTTTTTTAGGTGATGCAGTTCGGTCGGATCGACGGAAACGCCTACACTCTAGATTTTCAGTATCCTTTCTCAGCCCTTCAAGCGTTTGCAGTAGCTCTAGCTAATGTTACGCAAAGACTTAAATAATGTTTGTTTCGTTTTTAATGTGCCAATTTTTGATATTATCATGATCATATGAAAGAATTATTTGTTTGTGTTATGATAAATTGATTCGAAAGAATATCAAATTATATATGAATATATATTTTATACATGTTTTAGATAAAAACGTTGATTATTTTGAGGATTGTGGTGTACGTTGCAATTGATATTTTCATTGTATTTGGATGTTACCATTATGAATGATGAATAAAAAAACATATTACTCTGTGATTGTTTCCATATTGTCCTTCCCTGCCAAAAATACCTTATGAAGTCTCATGAAGAAATATAGATAAAATATGAGTATTAATAAGGATATATAACCGAGTTCTGTAGCGTATGAGTACATTATCTCTGGCACATGAACTTTTTAAAAGGTTTAATGATATTTCATGAGTATATGTGATTTATAAGCGTATACAAATATGGAGTATGAGAGTTTTTATCAGGCATAAGTGGTTTGAGGAGCCTATGACCACCAATAAGATATTCCACTTCCAATTGGAAAAGTATTCTATGCACATTCATGCGCCTTAGTATATATGAGAAATGTGTAGGAATTTACAAATAGAATTCTATTGGGTATCGTCAGGAAAAAAATATATCAGGATTTTAGAGTTTCACTAAGGAATTCCTTATCTAATTTAATGCGATTTCTATTAGCATTCATGTGACTCAGAATAACTGAGAATTTACGAGTTTCAATTAGACAATGAATGCCTAATCTGAAATGTGTCCAATGAGTGTTTATAAGTCAACTAGTTTCTAGGTTTATGAGCTCAAATATGAAAACACGGTTCTAAAATTATAGGTTTCTTATCAGCTTGAATCCGGTAAATAATTATTGAGTAATCATAAGTTTTCAAAAGACAATATAGATATAATCTTCAACGTATTTCATGGGTTTTTGTGAGGGTGAAAAGTGTTCGATAAATTATGATATTCAATAGGGAACTGCTGCCATGATTCTATCGGTTGCTGATGAGCTTGTATGTGGTATATGTGGTTTCAAGTATTCAAGATTTCTTATAAGCAATTACTGATCTATAATGAAACGTATCTTATTAGTCAAGCTGAGGTAAGATGTGTTCCAGAATTCATGAGTGTTGATAAGGATTTACCGTTATAACTGTATTCGTATGTTATGATGTTTCATGCGTTATTTCTGTCTAAGAATTCTGGACAATACATGCCTAATCTGAATGGTATCTAATAAGTTTGTATGAGATGTGTTAGTTCTGAGGATTTTTGGGGTTTGAAACAACATTACTGATTTGAAACGGAATGTATCCTATGGGTCATGCTGAGGCTTGATGTGTATCAAAATTGATGGGTGTTGATAAGGGTATACCATTATGACTCCAATGGTATTTTGAGAGGTTTCATGCGGGATTGCTGTATAAGGATTCAAGATTTTAGATTAGACAATACATGTCTGATTCGAAATGTATCTGATTATTTTTCATGAGATATGTATCTCATGAGGAAATGTTTGTTTAAGGATTCATGAGAGTTGAAATGAATGATGCGTTATTGGGACTCACGAGTTTTGATGAGACAATACATGTCTAATCTGTATGGTAACTAATTAGTTTGTATGAGATGTGTATGTTCTGAAGATTTTTGTAGTTTGAAAAGACAATACTGATTTGTATGTGTTCCAGAATTCATGAGTGTTGATAAGGATATACAGTTATGACTTCAATGGTATGTTGAGAGGTTTCATGCAGAATTTTTGTATAAGGATCCACAAGTTTAGATAGGACAATACATGCCTAATCTAAATGGTATCTAATGAGTTTGAATGAGATGTGTATGTTTTCGAGGTTTGTGAAGACAATGCTGAAGCTGAGGATATAATGTGTTATAGACTTCTTGAGGGTTGATGAGGATATATAGTTATGACTTCTAGTATATCGAGAGGCTTTTTCGCAGAGTTTTTTCATGATGATTCACGAGTTTGGATCAGACAGTTCATGTCCAATATAAAATGTTTTCTATAAGTTTGTGTGAGTTTTCAATAGTACAATATTTTCAAGTTCAAAATATATATTATTAGATCTTATGAGGATTAATGACAATGATTGACAGTTGTTATATGATGATAATAATAAAACAAGAGGTTTTATGCGGAATCTGTTTACTAGTTTCAATCAGACAATGCATGCTCAATCCAAAATGTATCAAATGAGTTTGTATGAGAAAATCAGTTCAAAGATTTGTAATTTCTAATGAGAACACGCACGGTTCTAATATTATAAGGTTACCAGCAGTTTTTATGAGAAATATAATTTTTGATAGCTCATAACTTCTATTCTGCAAGACACCATTGCGTAGGTACAATTTTTGTGTTCATATAATATATCAGAGTCAGTGCTTGAACGCACGTCATTGTTGAAGGTGAACATTATACAGGGCTCGGCTATGGACTCCTGGGATGAAAACAAGTTGATTTAGGCCAACTTACCTATATCCAAAATCGTCTCGTTAAATTGGTACAAGGCGTTGAAGTTTTTTCGGAAAAAATAATTTTGCTCATAAAAAGAGTAGGCTGAGATTGATTTTCATAATTTTTGGCATGGCATGTTCTGTGACTGTGAGTCACGTTTTGAGATGTTTTTGATCATCATCAGTGACCTGCAAGTATTTCGAACAAATATGTTGCCGTTCAAATTTGGTGACAACTTTTCGGACTGGAAACTTCCAGTTTCTTTTCCAGAAAGATATTCCCTTCAGAAATATTTTTTGTATCTTGTTATTTTTTCAGGATTATTTGCGAATGAATAATTTCTGATCTGAGGCATCTCATGCATTTTTAAGAAAAATAATCTGGTTGGGACATGGCTTGACTGTAGACTCCTTGGATAAAAATAGGTTGATTTTAGCCAACTTACCTATATCCAAAATCGTTTCGTTTGAGTTGGTACAAGGCGTTAAAGTGCTCACCTTGGGTCCTGTATATAGTTATCGCTAAATTTGAGACGTGAAAGTTCTTGTAATGCAAAAGAGGACCAGCAACTTATCAGTTTATTTACAATAATAAATCATATTGCAGCCATGATCAATAAACAGTCCAACTAATTAGATTAATTTTCAAAAATGCACAGGATGCATCATATCAGAAATTATTTATTTGCAAATGAACCTCGAGACATATCAAAGATAAACACGATACAAAAAATATTTCTGAAGAAAATATTTTTCTGGAAAAAAACTGGAAGTTTCCAGTCCGACCTCTGGAAATTTATCACAAAATTTGTACGGCAACATGGTTGTTTGAAACACTTGCAGGTCACTGATGATGATCAAGAACATCTCAAAACGTGACTTACAGTTGAGGAACATGCCATGCCAAAAATTATGGAAATTGATCCCAGCCTTCTCTTTTAATGAGCAAAATTATTTTTTTCAAAAAAAAATTCAACGCCTTGTACCAACTCAACGAGACGATTTTGGATAGGTAAGTTGGCCTAAATCAACTTGTTTCTATCCCAGGAGTCCACAGCCGAGCCATGTCCGAACTTTTTACAGATACCCTGTATATTTTATTTGAAAATATAACTATATTGATTGTCACTTTCTCGGAAAAAACTTATTGATTTCCTTTTTTTTTCTATATATTCAACACCCCCTGATTTCGTTACAAATAAGTTTCAGACCATCTTTTATCATCTTTTTTTTTTAATCACACGACCCTTTATATTGCCATATTTTCCGATTTATTGCAAAAACTTCAGCTCATCAAAACAGAATTGTTTTTATATTGGTACTGGTATTTCAACTTGAATACGCACACAATTCGAAGAGACGAAGAAGCCTGAGGGTTTTTGCCAAATGAATCCTCATTCGATCACATAAAAATCATTCAATATACTTTATATCCTCATACATTCTCATAATTCCTATCAGCATTGCATCAAGAAACTATTATATATTTTCATGCCTACTAGAAACTGATAGATCCACATAAAAACCCGAACAACAACGCCAAATTCATAACATAGGTAACTCATAAATCCACATAGATTCACATTTGAAAATTCACTTGGAGAGTCATTAAGTCTCCACATAGAGGGGAACACAAAATTCAAGTTGGTAACAAAACAGTAACTTTTTTGCGTTGGTACTTCTGAGACTGAGCTAGCCACTAGCCAGCCATATTTGTTTTAGTTTATGTTGCTCGCGAAGGAAGACAGGTATCTCTGTTTTGATTCGAGAGAATACCCATTATTCTGAAATTATTGTTGAGAATTGAGGTGTGAATTGCATATCATATCATGTGTAATGTAGTGGATTCGATAGTGCTCCAATCTGAAATAACTTTTGGATAAATGTGAACATTACTCATGATTACCAACGCGATCTGTTTCTTTGTTCGCACCAAGAGGTTGAACATCCGCCATGATGCATAAACTTGTGAGTATTTTTGATCTCGAATATTGCATCACTTCATCCTCATTGCTAATTTGGATTAATGAGGATTCTTGAGTTTGAAATAGACAATTCATTGCTGATATATATAGGGTTCTATAAGTTCCTGTAAGGTTCATATGTTTCAATGATTGAAGGTTAAAAATGACTGGCACAATTTAACACATAACCATGTATCTTGTTAGTTGTTTGTATAAGGTTTCCAATCACGATACTCAATTATATTTCATTGCTCATTCACGAGCCTGAGAAGGTATGATATATGTGTAGAAATCAACGAATATAATCGTATATGATATCGTGTGGAAAGACAGGAAACAGTGAGAGCAGCATTTATTAGCTGTAATAAGGAATCCCGCATCTGATTCAATGCGTTTTTTATGAGCATTAATATGATTCAGAACGACTCCAGATTTACAAGTTTCAATGGTGAAATTCAGTGTTGATTACAATCGTATCTTACAGGTTGTTATAAGCAAAATATCTTCCAGGAATTCATACCGTCTAATGAGGAACCACAGATCCGATTACATTGAATCCTCATTGAATGTATGTGGAATGAAATATTTGAAAACCAATGAGATTGTATAAGACATCACTATCCCAATATGCAATGAATTTCATGAGTTTTCATAAGACAATTGATTTTCGAGAATTCACGGAACCAAATGGCATTGGTTTCTTGTGAGTTATTTTTTATTTTGAATTATTGAGGAATCAGAACTTCGATCAATACTGAGCTATCCTGGAAGATGTCATGAATGTTCTTATTTCAGTATATTTCAGGATTTTGATAG